AACACAGTGTTCAGTGTTCAGTTCTGAGAACTGAGAAGTGCGATGAAGTACATTTGATGATATAATGATCGGAAACTTGTGTGCTTTGTCCAGCTTTGTATAGCATCTGATTGTAGACTTGATCTGCTTGGACAGCTCACATTTTTTTGTCTTGAAATTTCAGAATTTATCATGCCCCGAGGGCGTTCTCCTACTGCATTTGTCAGTTTTATTATTTTGAAAACAGGTGAACAAATGATCCAACCGTTAAAAAGCACTTATTTTTATAGTGTGTTAGGTGTGTTGACACATTGTCCGTGTTTTACAAAGCAAATGATGAGTGTAGGATTCATTGGTGTCAACGTACCTCGTGAGAAAACAATGCCCACACTTTGCCCACTTACTACTTCCGGTTTATGATTTCTCTAGTCTCCACATGCAGGAGGAGTCTCATAAGTTACACAAGTTATACCAATCACTCTTGCTGTAATTCTTCCGCTTTCGGGAAAATTATCGTACTATAATGGGAGTAACAGTACTTTTGCAACTCAGTATTAAATATAGGCTCAAGTGAAAAACAAGGGATGCCACTTTTTGCCATTTCGAGAAGAAAAAAACCCGAAATGCTTGAAAGCCAACGTTTTTCTATAGTACAGCTTACTTTTTATGCATAATATTGAGCGACTTATTAAGTTTTAACCCCAGGCAATTAGACATACTAGAAGAGTGTTTAAACACTTTACAACTCACATCACAACTCAAATTATCCCAAAACTGACATCTCTTATTATTCCTCTTGTGTACCCAGTATATATAACGTCCGCAAATATAGAGATATATTCAAGATAGATGGGTATCATTTTCGTCAAAAGCAAGACAGTTTATTGAACAAGACACAACATGGTTGTGCCTTTCATGTTTTCTATGAGTTTCTTTTAATTTTTTTTTCTAATTTAAGAGAATGTAGGCACTGTGTTAAGAAAAATCACGTTAACTCCCAGATTCTGACACATTCTCACACAAACAAAAACTGGAGCGAAAGAGCGCTTGCGACACGTGAAAAAAAGTTGTGAAGTATTATTGCTTCAGTGTGCAATGTGAACGCTGGAGCGAAAGGGTGTGTGCGAAAAGAAAGGTGCAGAAAATAGAAAATGGATACGCCAAGAAGAACAGAAATGCAGCGGCTTACAGATTATATACATATATTTTTGAATGTGTGCGTGCGTGTGTGTGTGTGTGTGTGTGTGTGTGTGTGTGTGTGTGTGTGTGTTTGTGTGTGTGTGTGTGTGTGTGTGTGTGTGTGTTTGGAGAGTTTTGTTGGGTTTTTTCCCCTTCCCCCTTCCAGAGAGATAATGTATGCGTGCGTGTGTGTGTGTACTGGTGTTCCCCCCGCCAGTCAGAGAGGTTTTTTTTCCCCGTTCCTCACTGGAGAGATAATGTATGGGTGCGTGTGCGTGTGTTGTTTTGGAGTGCCGGTGTGAATGATTAAGTTGCTTTAGTGTGTGTTTGGTGGTGTAAAAATCAAGTGTAGCACCCACCCATTTCCAACTGCTTGACCCAATGTGAAACATCCAGGATCTCCGTTTGAGTCACAGTGGGGGTGTTGCAGGTTGTATCTTATTGGAAGAGGAATCAACATTCTGTGATGATCGTCTTCATCTTGGATCACGAAGATATTGGGGGGGGTGCTAGACTTAATGTTTACCATTGTGGCTGCATTGATGTAAGTTTTGTAATGTATGTGTGTGTGTGTCATCACTCGATTGTAAAAAATAATTTTCTGTAAATATGTGTGTGAGAGAGTTTGTAAGGTACACAAAGGTTGTTGATATTGGTACTGTTTGTTGTATGGTGTTTTGATATGGACAGAGAGGCCATTGGCCAGTTGAAGTTGGGACTTTCAAGATGTGCAATTTTTTCATTGCAGATTTCCCATTTTGCTATGAAGACCCCTTTCTGCTTATTTCCTCTGTATTCCCAACAGACTGGAGATAAAGCCACAAAAATTACCCCAATTTTTTCAGAAAAACGTTTGTTGGAAGAAGAAAAAGCACAGCAGTTGCATACATTTTATGTGAAATTCACATTGTGTGGAAATACATGAATAAAGATTGACAAAAACATATATGATGTGTATTTGTTGGTGTGTAAAGATGTTTGTTCAAAGGCTGAGAGGAAATTTAACCTTATGTGTATGTTGAGTTTTACCATCGTATCCATACGACGTGGGGAACTCAGTGTTACCACTTTCCAATTTCCAATGAGGAAATCTACTTATTAATCCGATCCGTACGCTTTGTATAGTAGTCTGTGAAAATGATTTTTGAAATTATACGGAAAGTTTCAAAGAGATCTTTGCACTAGAAGTATTCTAAAATGTGAAGAATACAACCGCGGCAGTACAAAATGACCCTAGGGCGTATAGATATGGTTAATTAATTTGAAATGCCCTTCACTCTGAGATGATCATGGGAGTGTATTCAAAACCCAGTATGCTGGCAAATCTTGTACATGCAGTAGCACCAGTGTGTTGATGGTAAATTAAAAGAATAGAATTAATTAAGAGTTTTCTTCTAGCAGGTTTGTTGGTTTTTTTTTGTTTTTGTAAAGTGTTTTACGGCGCTCGCAACTGCATTAGGTCATATGAGCCCGCGGGACACACCTAATATTTTCAGTTGGTAGGAAATTTTGAATTTTGCCCGGGTGGCGGCCGAAGCCTACTCTTGTCAATTTTAGACCACCAAGGGATCTTTAACGTGCGCAACTTGCACACGGGCCCTCCGAGATTTTTCGCCCTTGTCCGAGAAGGCTAGGTGTAGATCTTTCCTACCAGAAGTTCAGGGGTGTGGCAGAAAGACAGCAGTTAGGAGGAGCCAAGGAGTAGCAGTAGAAAGGCTGCAGAAAGAGTCAGGAGCCCAGAGGAGGGGGCAAAGGAGGTGAAGCAGACAACAGAACATCGTTAGAGATCAGGAAAGGATGTGAAAGGAGACAATTTTAGAGAAGAAAATTTTTTGGTCGCTACCCGGAATCGAACCCGGGACCTTTGAATGAGAGGCCAACACCTTAACCTCTAGGCCACGAGAGCCCCTGTAGCAGGCTTGACGGGCTTTAGAATCTTGTCTTGTCAGCTCTTTGTCTCTGCAAGTGGTTAGACGTCACCTCTAGAAGTAGAAGGTCCTGCTTCTTTATGTTGGGTGCTGGGCCACTGGCCATAGATAATACCAATACAACTGACAGAATTTAGTGGTTAGGCTACCGGACTCGTAATCGTGAGGTTGCGGGTTCAGGGGTTCGAGCTGCGGGCCTGACGTTGTGTCCTTGGGAAAGGCACTTTTTACTCAAATTTTCCTCACTTCACCCCGGTGGGAATGGGTACCCGGCCATAGATGGCGAAAGATCTTGTCAGTATGTTTTAGCCCCTCTATGAATGGCTGCTTGCACTGTATGCTTCCCAGGAAGTTGGGGTTGTTTCAGAATGCTCTCAGGTCTGCTGAGGTAATAGTAATATTATAGTATTGACTAATAGTATTAGTATACATTGTGAAGCACATAGAGCTTGCTGTTGAGCGGGGATTTATGCTGTACAAATGCTATTTTTTTTTCTTCCCCTAATAGTAATATAATACTTGAACGAAGATGTCAAGAGTCTGGGCCCATGGACTCCCTACTCTCTTTATCAACCCTCCTCCTCCCGCCCCTTCTCTTTCTTTCTCACTCACTCTCTCTCTCTCATGCTCTGTGGGTGGTTGGTGGGCGCTCTGGTTTGGCTTGCTCCTTCTTTCCTATCAAACTCAAACATCTATCGTCCTAATCTCCCCTCCTATTTTGTGTTGCGAGCGCCGTAAAACCTTACTAAAACAATTTCGTGCTCTCTCATTGTCTCTGTCATTCTCTCTGGTCCTGTCCTTATCTCTTTCTCTCACTCTCTCTCTGACTTTCAGTCAGTAAATTTTGAACGGATCAGTTTCCATCCCTGGATAAAAATAAAAAGCTTCTCTCCACTCAAGAATTGAACTCAATATCTTCTGCATACAACAGCCAACAACCTTGGCATCTCCTCATCTCAGATGTCAGGCAGTCTTAAGTTTTAGTGAGGTTTTATGGCGCTCGCAACTGCGTAAAGTCATATGAGCGTCAAGGGATGACAACAGAGAAGTCCAAACGGGGAATCAGTCTTACTCTGTTCACCTCTCTAGCTTCAACAGCACAAGGTCTGCTTCGACTATCAAGGCACCCCGGAAATAGCAGTTCACAAGAGAGTGACAAACATACAAAAGAAGTAGAGAAAAAATGACAATAGTAAGGATGAGGAAAGAAAAAGCAGCAGTTCCCCTTATGTTGTTCTGACACAGTAGGCTACTGTCCCCGCGGTTGTAATAGTAATAGTTGTATGCAAAAAAATTTCTGAAATTATGCAAACTGAGCCCAAAAATGTGGTGAAATTATGAATTATGCAATTCTGTTAATTTTAACAAAGAATGATAAAGGAAAATAATCAGAAATTATGCAAAAAATATCAAATTTAGCTAAATTATGCGGGGTGCATAAAACCCCAGGGACAGACACTATGAGCATGACATTGTGATAAATCAGCCCATTTACAATTCTACTGTGCATAAGAACATGTTAATATCCCCCCTTTGGGAACACCCAAAAGACAACTTCAGTCAGTAGCAGCACTGCCCTGGTGGGGGGTGCCAGGCAGTCTATATAAGTACATGTACAAATCTGTTCAAATTTTAGTTTTTGTAAGAGTTTTACAGCGCTTGCAACACAATAAGATATAGGCCTATATGGTCATATAAGTGCTGAAGATTAGAGGTGTTACAAGGGAGTAACAAACATAAAAAAGAAGGAGGGGAGATAAAGACAATAGCCATGTTTGACAGGAAAAAAGAAGCAAACCTCACCAGAGCACCCA